ATGAGAAGTACATGATTTCCTACCTTTGCCTCAGGTGAGCTGCTGAAAGATTCTGACCGACAGCAAATAAAATGCGAAGACCGGGAGGCCTCCCTGGCAGTATCCAGTGCTTACAAAGAGGATGAAGGGTTTTACAGCGTCCGCCTCCCAACACAAGATGGATACAACCAGCAAACAGCTTATGTGTTTGTTAGAGGTAGGATTCTGCTACAATTTATCTGGTGATAATGATGCTGTGACCTATGGTCATTATGGGTATAATAGCTATTATGTTGAATTGGGCCTCAAGAGACCTAGCATTGCATCCCTACTCAGCCATGAAATTCATTGGGTAACCTTGGGTCAATTACATATGCTCACTCTGACCTACCTCACCAGACTGTTGTGAGAATAAAGTAGGGAGGAGAATCATGTATGACACATTTATATCCCACTTTTCCTCCAATGAGCCAAACATAGCCTACATGGTTCTCCTCCTTATTTTACTCTCACAACAGTCCTGTGAGGTTCTAATATATAAAATATTGGCCGTAGATAACGGGAATTGTACTTCAACACATCTCATTCTAGGTAAAAAATGTTACTGCCTCTTGGACTAGATCCAGTGCTCGATGGGAAGATTCAATAGCATTTTTCAAATACTTGAAAGGTAGTTGTCCAGAGGAGAGGCGGGACACGTACTTGGTCATACTACAGTGCAGGACAGGTAATCATGGGCTCAAGCTACAGGAAGTCAGATGAAGGCTGAACACCAGGAAAATCTTCTTAACTGCTAGAGCAGTACGACAATGGAAGCAATGACCTTGGGAGGTGGCGAAGACTCCAACACTGGAGGCCTTCAAGAGAAAATTGGACCAAGATCTGTCAAATCTGCATTGACTTAAATTTCTATTTCTGCGTTGAGCAGGGGGCTGGACTTGATGGCCTTACAGGTCCCTTCCAACTCAATTACAGTGGACCCTCTACTTACGTAATTAATCCGTATTGGAATGGTGGCTGCAAGTCGAAAAGTCTGTAGGTCGAATCTCCATTGACCTACAATGCATTGAAAACCGATTAATCCCATAACCGGCGGTTTTTATTCTATTTTTGTTCCATTTTGTTTTTTTTCTGGTCTGTAAGTCGATTCTCTGGCTGCAAGTCGAATCTAAATTTTGCAGCCAGAAGTCTGTAACTCGGAAAGTCTGTAAGTCGAGCCGTCTGTAAGTCGAGGGTCCACTGTATTCTAAGATTCTAAGAGTGGCTCCATTTTAATCAGTGGGACTTAAATGAGCCATTACAAACTAAAGTCCTTCACAGATCTACTGTAAGTATGACTAAGCTGAGATCTAGCCATTTTAAAAAAACATAATGATGCCTTCAAAGGCTGGAAGACAAAACGGTGAACCAATCCAAAACCAAATTGAATAAAATTCAGATAAAATGCTCTAAAGGCAGCTTAACCTTCTTCTCTAGATGCGGCAGCAGAGACAGCCGGAGCCCCTGGGTCACCCCTCTGTGTCCAATGCCACGATGTGAATAAAAACAGCCTAATACTTTCATGGATAACGCCCAGCGATGATGGAGGAAGCCCTGTCGTGGGCTACTACATCGAGAGGTCAGCCCTCAGCCACCGCAGAGCCGTGGTCTCTTACCTTTTGCAGAACACGTGGTGCCAAAACTGGACAACGTTTTCTTTCCTTTAGGTGTGAGGCGGGCACGGAGGCGTGGGCGCCGTGCCACGACCAGCTTGTGAAAACCTGCAGGTCTCCCGTGGTAGGGCTCATCGTGGGAAAGACGTACCAGTTCCGCGTAAAAGCCGTCAACCGCGTGGGCGTCAGTAACCCCTCCAAGGCGAGCCACCCTGTGACAATGATTGACCCCGATGAGGCCAAAAGATCGATAAGTACATCCATTTTTGTATTATTGTTCTCGAACGATAAATATTTTCTAAATATTTCAGGCCACCTTCAAGGCAGCAGCATCCACAGATAAAATTGAACCACTGCAGTATTCAGAAGTTGGAGTAAGTTCCCTATCTAAGTATAGAACAAGGGAAGTTCGCATAAGTATGCAGAAAAAGTTTCACCTGAACAGGAAGCTTTAATTTCTTTTGAAATATCAATTCGGGCTCCGTGCATGCCTATAGTATAGATGCTACAGAGTCTTTGTTGATCTGTAATTCTCTCTCTCTCTCTCTCTCTCTTGGGCTCCATGTATGCCTATAGTGTAGATGCTACAGAATGCTACAGAGTCTTTGTTGATCTGCAATTCTCTCTCTCTCTCTCTCTGATTAGTTATCCCTTATGATGATGGGGTGAGGAGTATCACAGTGTCCAAAGATGAGCTGGAACGTAAGTTCGAAAACATCATCATACTTTCCTTCTGACTTAGGGCTGGGATAGACAGCTCAATTGGAGCAGGCTGAAGTGGGCTAAAGAGTGGTCAAGTATGGGCTGGCTGGGTAGCTCAGTGGGTTAGGTACCGGTTGGGAGTTCGATTCCCGCATTGGGAGAAGAGCCAGCCTGGGTGGCCTTGGGCAAGCTGCACAGTCCCACAGCGCCCCTAGTGGAAGGGAGTGGTAAGCCACTTCTGAGACTTCTTTACCTGGAAAACGCTGAAAAAGGTTGCCGTAAGTCAGAAGTGACTTGATGGGTGATAAGCCACTTCTGGGACTTCTTTACCTGGAAAACCCTGAAAAAGGTTGCCGTAAGTCAGAATTGACTTGATGTTACATTATTATTATGACTTTAAGGTCATGTACAGGTCCAGTATGCCATTGGGTGAGAAATCCTTGTGCAACTCAAATGACCTGATGTAGGTTCTTAAAACAAAACATAACAAAACAAATATCCCCTTCCTTGCCCCATTCCTCTTTCTGAGAGGAAGTTTTCAAATTTCTTTTTGTGTTTTTTCTAAAAGGCACAGCACTGCCCTAATAGGCTTTTTAAAAGATAATTTCCTTCCCCCCCCCACCTCTTCATATCAGCTGTCCCCAAGCTGGCCCTCTATCCCGCTACCCACCTTAGTAGGGATGGGGGAAGCTGTCGTCCAGATCTTGCACTGTCTTGGAGGGTGGTGAACTCTGTTTTGTTAAGGTTTTGAAACAGAGCTTGGATGGCCATCTGCCAAGGCAGATCTAGCTACGGATTTCCTGCATTGACAGGGGTTAGACTAGATGACCTTAGAGAACCTTTCTAACTCAACAGTTCTACAGTATGCTTCTATGAACATTCTGCCCATGATGCCTGATTTGTGTGGTTTCTCTGTACACACTAGTGATCTTCTGATCCAGCAGTTGTTGAATGACACTGTGCCCTGGACAGTTTTACCACACCTTTCTCCATGAAAAGGACCCAAGGTGATAACTCAACAGTTCTATGCTTCTATGAACATTCTGCCTGTGATGCCTGATTTGTCTGGTTTCTCTGTACACACTAGTCATCTTCTGATCCAGCAGTTGTCAAATGACACTGTGCCCTGGACAGTTTTACCCCACCTTTCTCCATGAAAAGGACCCAAGGTGTCTTATATCATTAAATGGCAATTGTAAAGCTGGTTCTCATGAAATATGGAGCACTGGATCAGTAGAGTGTGGCGTGCTTTCGTTTGGCTACTGTTATTGACAAGTGGGTCTCATATTGCTAAAATGAGCTCTTGTTGTTTTTTCCCCCCACAGCCAAGATCAAGATGCCTTTGCCACCCACCAACGTTCATGCCAGCGAGGTCAGGGAAGACTATGTGGTCCTCTCTTGGGATGAGCCAGACCCCAGAGGGAAGGAGCCCCTGAGTTATTTTGTTGAAAAGGTAAGGAAATGATAAACCAAAAGTTGACTCCCATTTCTTTGCTTGCAAGTTTTTGTTGTTAAGTCGTTGCCTTTCCTGTCTTTTCAGTCCCTAGTGGGCAGTGACAGCTGGCAGATGGTTAGCCTAGACATCCCAGTGAATTCCACAACCTTACCGGTCTTTGACCTGGTGAAAGGAAAGTCGTACCTTTTCCGCGTGCGGTCAGTGAACAAGTATGGAGTCAGTGACCCTTCGTTGTCCAGTGAGCCCATCTCACTTGGCAAAAATATAGGTGATCTTTTTTAATTGTATAACTGTGTCTTCTTGAAATTAGAAGTCTCCTGTCCTTTGCTTTGAGGCCTGGAATTAAAAAAAAACATGTTTGAATGCCGTGAAGCTGGGCCCTTTGCAGACTAAGACAATGGATAGCAAGCAATCTGGCTGGAATGCAAAGCTTGGAAATCAATCTAACGTATTTGTGTTAAAATCATTGCCTTTGTGTTAAATATCTGGCTATAAGGCAGTCCCAAATCTTCAGCAAAGGAGAATCCCTGAAAAATCAGGGGCTTTCTGCTTAAAGCACTGGCTGCTTCTCAAGGCTAAAGCACATAACTACTTCCCTTTAATAGACGAGAGCCAAAATTGTGTTGGGTGTTTATGCTGCTTGCAAGCAAGACGGCATAAGTGGGCCAGTTCACTGAAGATACTTAGGAAGTTGATGGTTGCATACCTGGTCGTGTGCCAGCCGTACAACCAGGGAGTTAACCAACCACACAACGAATACTCACCATGTCACTTTTTGGATAATTTGGTTTGTTTGTAGGCAATCAGCCTCTGGCTGGTAACTAAAACATAAGCTGAACTGGAGATGAGCTATAATAGGATCCAGATTGGTGTTGTTCCTCGGTTTTCTTTCCTTTTCGTAGCTCCCCTCCCACCACCCTCTCAGGTCCTGGCCTTCAGAGACACCAACACATCAGTCACTGTGCAATGGAGTAAGCCAGAGGAAGGCAAGGAGCCCCTGGGCTATTATATCTACTGCCAGGAGGTTGGAACGGATGAATGGCAAACCGTCAACAATAAGCCCGTCACCTGTCATGAGTAAGTTAACCAGCCAATCGGCAACTCTGTTTTTTTTCCAGCTCTGACAGGTCCGGCCCTACCATTAGTCAACTACCATTTCTTGGCTTTATTGGGAGACTGATACGAGTTTTTTTTCCCCTATTTTTTTCATTCATTCATTTATTTTTATTTACTTTTGTTTATTTTAATTTTATTTTATTTATTATCTTTGTCCTTGTAAGGTTCACCGTTCCAGGACTCAAAACTGGCAAACAGTATGTCTTCTGCGTGAAATGTGTCAATGAAGCAGGAGTGGGTGAAAGCTCCCCTCCATCCGACCCCATCACTGTCAGGCAGGCAATCTGTAAGTATTATGGGATAGCACGGCCCAAGTTTCCACAGCCACCTTCCCAAAATAAAACGGCCCCAATGCAGAGAGAGAAGCTGCACGCTGGGTTCAGTTCCACCTTTCTATTACACTCTCATTTCTTCCCCCCTAGCCTGTCCATCGGCCCCACGTGGCTTTGCCCTGCTGAACTGCGGGAAGGACCGCATGACAATAGCTTGGAAGCCTCCCAAACGCAAAGGAGGTACAACCATTTTGGGCTATTTCCTAGATCAGCACAATGTGTCAGAGATTGACTGGCATGAAGTGAACATTAAGCCCATCGCTCAGCGCATGCACACGGTACGGAGGCTTTATGTCATCTACCAACTCTGGGGAACTGAGGGAGAGGACGTAGCCAATTTCTAACTGCTGTTGCTCTGAATTTTTGACAGTTTGGGGCTGTAAAATAGGAAGAATGCCTTCCTGCCAATATTCTAGTGTCAACCATGGCCCACCATCAATAGCAGTGAAAGCACTTGTGGTTTGATGGAGCACTTGTACCATCATTAGTCTCATATTCTCTGCTGATATTATTTGCCTTTTCTTTTTCAGTGTCAAAGTGGCATTCCTATTACCTCTTTTTGTTAACAGCTTTCTTTCCTGGGGCCCCATACCTTTCTCGCCCTCCCCAAACCTTTGTTTTATGTTTTGCTCCTTTTTACATTGGGGTGATGTTTAGCGCTATGCCACTTCCCTAATCAGTTCACCACTAATGTATGATGAGCACAAGGAATCAACAACCAGCACAGTACAGGGCACATGAACTGTACTTAGCAACACCGTCTGTTTTGTGGGACACTAAGAGAGCACAAGCATGATGCTGAAACAGAGAAATAGTTTTGCAATTGATCATCCACTAGAGTAGGCCCCTTGAATCAATGTGAATTTGGTGAGTCAATTCCTCCATAAATTCCATAGGCTGAATATCAGGAAAAACTTCTTAACTGTAGAGCAGTATGACAATGGAACCAATTAGCTCGGGAGTTTGTGAGCACTCCAATGCTGGAAGAATTCAAGAGAAAATTGGACAACCACCAGTCAGATCTGCTTTGATTTGGATCCCTGCATTGAGCAGGGGGGGCGGACTCAATGACCTTATACTGTACATAGGTCCCTTCCAACACCATTATTCTATGATTTTATGAATCAGTGGGTCTACTCTAGTTCTGACTTACTATTGGATGTTGACCAGTGAGGTGCAAATGCTCCATCTGGAAGCTCATTAATATAATGTAAAGACAGTTGTAATTTATAGGGAGCCCTGATTTTTTTTTTCATACCTTTTCCTGTTTGAAATGACTTTGGACACTCTTCTGGTGAGCAGGGTAGTAAAATTAGCTACTTCTGATTCAGTCCGTTTCACTTTAGGAGAGATATGGTGGATTTTTTTTTTAAATCATGCCACAGAAACACTGGAAAAGGCCTTGTTGTTTTGTAATAGTATCCTAAAATGCACATATATTCATTTCAGGCAGTGGTGCTGCTAATGATGAGCATCGATAGACTGGTTTGAGCTTTTAGTAAAGTGTCGCTGGGAAATTCTTTGCCAGAATGGAATACTCTGGCTTTAAAGTGAAACTCTGGAAAACGCTCTGGATATTTTGTGATGCTCTAGGTCACCAACCTGGCCGAAGGACACTTCTATGAATTCCGTGGTTACGCCATGAATGTGGTTGGTGTTGGGAAAGTATCTGAACCCAGTGACGTTTTCAAGTGTGAAGAGTGGACAATGCCAGAACCAGGTAAATATTATCAACACATCAAGACTTAGAGTTTGGTTAAAAACCTTAACTGATGACTAGGACAGGGATGGGGAAAAAATATTGGTTTTGGAATTGAATTTACAGACCACCCCAATCATCCCTAGAATAGCAACTTTTGGGAGTTGGCTTCCAGCGTGAGTTGAAAAAAAAACTTTTATTCCCCACATTCTCTTGATGTGGGCGTTTGAAAACGAACTGGGCAGGGCCACAAGAAGGGGAGACATTCCGTTTTCCACTAGAAAATTATCCTGAGAGACCACATCGGTGAGATATCTCAGGAAGGACGCAAGAGAGAAACAAGGGCCAGAAAAGGGAGGTGAGCCACCCAGTCAAGGAAATGGAAGAGGTCAACGTCTAAAGGTTAAGCAAGTACAGATGCTGAGACTCAGGGTGGAGCCTGGAATGGGGGATGTAAATCAATGGACTGCACTCAGGATCAGTTAGGTGTGGAAGAAACAGGAGAGTGTAGTCATACATGAGGAACAGGATTAGTGGAAGCCCAAAACTCATGAATGGCACCAAAGAAAGAGAGCACCACAGCAGAGGCCAGCCTGAACTTGGTAGGGGCTAAAGCCAGCGTAGGTTCAGCACCTGGACAGTTCCTTTAAGGTGGATATAAAATGTCTGTGATATCAGAGACCCCCCCCAGCCCACCACTGCTGGAGGGACCGGCGCGGCTCTGAACATGAAGAACAGGCAGGAAGAAGGAGTGGCTGCTGCTCCATTTGGTTGCTGTGTGCATTAAAATGTAATCTCCCAGGTCTGGCCAAATCTTTATATCTCAGACTGAACAAAAATGGATAAAGCATTCCTGGTTTTGGGGGGGGCAGGGAGTGTGGAAGAGTGTAAATGAGCATCTGGTACATGGGCAAGGAAGAGACACGTGGATGCCACAGACCTCGATTTTCTCCTTCTTTCTCTACCCGCTTTGAAGCTCCTCTTCTTTTGCAAACAGGCCCGCCCTACGACGTAAGGTGTACCGAAGTGAGAGACACGTCTCTGATGGTCCACTGGGACCTAGGTCTGGCCAAATCTTTATATCTCAGGCTGAACAAAAATGGATAAAGCATTCCTGGATGGGGGGGCAAGGAGTGTAGAAGAGTGTAAATGAGCATCTGGTACGTGGGCAAGGAAGAGATACGTGGATGCCACAGACCTCTATTTTCCCCTTCTTTACATGCTTTGAAGCTCCTCTTCTTTTGCAAACAGGCCCGCCCTACGACGTGAGGTGTACCGAAGTGAGAGACACGTCTCTGATGGTCCACTGGGAGCCACCCTTATATACCGGAGCAGGCCCCATCCTTGGGTATTACGTGGACGCCTGTGAGGAGGGATCCGATACGTGGCAACAACTGAATAAGGAGCCAATATCCAGCACCCACCTGAAGGTCTGTGCTCCAGCGTTTCCTGTGCCTTGGCCTTAGCCGTTGTTGTTCTCTTGATCTTGCCCACCCAAAATTGTGTGAGGAACACCAGGCAGGATCACAGTCCTTGGCTGGCACCAGTGGCAGCTCATCCATGAGGGCATGAGGGCTGCTGCACCACCCCAGATTACCCACATCATCCATCCCACTCCTGCCTTGCCCGTAATCCTTAAATTCATAGAATCATAAAATCATGAAGTTGGAAGGGGCCAATAAGGTCATCTAGTCTGACCCCCTGTTCAAGGCAGGAATCTGAGTCAAAAGCAGATCTAACTGATGGTTGTCCAATGAATGTCTCCAGCACTGGAGCACTCACCACCTCCCCTTGAGGTCATGGGTTCCATTGTCATACTGCTCTTACAGTTAAGAAGTCTTTCCTGATCTTCAGCCTAAATCTCTCTTCCTGTCGCTTGAGCCCATTATTGCATGCCCTGCACTCTGGGATGACTGAGAACAGATCCTGCCCCTCTTCTGTCACTATCCTATTTAACTATGATTTCTGCGATCACTCCTGCTGTCCGAGTCAAAGCAGGTCTAACAGCTGGTTCTCCAATGAATGTCTCCAGCACTGGAGCACTCACCACCTCCCCTTGAGGTCATGGGTTCCATTCTCATACTGCTCTTACAGTTAAGAAGTCTTTCCTGCTCTTCAGTTTAAATCTGGCTTCCTGTCGCTTGAGCCCATTATTGCATGCCCTGCACTCTGGGATGACTGAGAACAGATCCTGCCCCTCCTCTGTCACTATCATATCTAACTATGATTTCTGTGATCATTCCTGATGTCAGTTGACCCTTTTCATGACATTTCCTCCCAACAGCTGTCTGATCTGGAGACGGACAAGTGCTACACGTTCCGAGTGCGGGCCTTGAACAAAGCCGGTGTTGGCCCACCATCCCTGCCTTCGGATCCGGTGGTGGTGAAAACCAAACCAGGTATGAAGCTTTTTCTCTTCTCTCACCGCTCCTGACTGTAGGAAGCTAAGCCTCGTGATTGAAGGAAGCCTGTTTCCAAAAGCTGCAGATGACTTGTTACTGAGCTACAGGGAGTATAAGGTTTGTTTGCATGATATAAGCCTTTAGCCTCCTTTTTTAATTGCCTGGGAAGTTTATTGCTGCCAACGAAACAGTTCTTATCAAAAGAATGCTTTTTCCCCCTTTGCTCTCGCTGGCTGCTGAGAGATTAAGATTACGAGGGAATGCCTATGATAATAAGGCAGTCGGCCAATTAGGATGGACAGACAGTTATAAACTCCAGAATTCTAAGGACCTGAAGCTATAAGTGTATAAGATCTACCATTTTGGATTAAATTGCTTAGGACTGAATGTGTTATTTGATGCACATCATCTCTTGGTTTTCTCCCTCTTCAAAGTAGATGATTCTTCGACAATGATTTGGAGGAAAAGGGCAGGGTGTCTGTCCAGATTGCTGACCTTCCTTGCTAGCTACAGGATAATGGGAACTGTAGTCCCCAGTCACCCCATACATTGGTGGAGGACTGGGGGAAGATTTTCCTTTGAGAGCAGTGTCTTGTTTTGTTTGAGGTTGAAAAAAATGACCCTTCCCTCTACTCATTTGGTTTTATTTATATATTTGCAGGCTCTAAAGAAATTGAAGTTGGAGTAGATGAGGAAGGATTCATCTATATGGCCTACGAGGCTCCTGAAATGGTGGACACCTCACAGTTCAACTGGTCCAAAGATTATGAGGGGCCCCCCAATCCCGACAGAGTTCAAATCACCGATAAAGATGACAAGTATGTGAAGATAATATGAAGCAAGAATTGTCCATGTCTTCAGCTGTGCTTTTGTGGCCGTTTCTGCCCAGTGTGCAGAAGAATTTAGAAGAAACACCTTTTCCTCCCATTATTATTGTCATGAAAATAGCCTACTGAGCAATAGGCTGCTAAAGGTGGAGGAGCAGAGCCAGTAACTAACCCCCCCCTCAAAAAAAGAAAAGAAAAGATGGCCACCCTAAGCAATCTCCTGACACATAGACTCAATTATTAGACAATATTTGTCCCATTATTTACCAGTGATGGGCATTTCTTCCCCACCCACCTTATCTCCCTCCAATGTCCCTGAATCCTCACAGGTGATGAATATATGGGGAACTGGGGGGGAGCAAGAGAGGGACATCAGCCATACCATACGTGCATTGTTTTTTAAAATCCATAAATTCTATTCATACCTTATGCCTTGTGCATGGGCATCTGGCAATACTGTATTAGTCATTGCTCACAAGTAAACATCCATGAGGCCTAGAAACTTGTTTTAACAAATGAAAGTTGAAGTTTCCAGGAAGCTGAATTTTGTGAATGTGCACACACCATGCATCATATGCCTTCTCTTTTTTTTTTCTTATGGAATTGTGTACGTCCAGCCCTAAGAATTATTTTAGGTCAGTTTTAGTGCAGGTATTTCTCAACAGATGTGTCCGCATTTCCTTTTATTTAAGATCTAAGCTCATCCTGAAATATGCTACTGAAAGGGATCTTGGAACATACGCAGTGGAAGTTACTGACACCGATGAAGATGTCTCTGCCAGTCACGTTTTGACTGAAGAAGGTAAATGATCTATCTTGCTAATTCTCTGTTAAAGGATCTGAATCAATTTGCATTCAGGTGACTGATTGTAAACTGTACTGTGTATTGTTTCCTTCTCCCTTTTATACATAAAAGGGCGGATCAAATTATGCCTAGAATTTTGGAATCCTTGTCTGGGATTGGATTTGGTTTTCATAGAATTATAGAGGCGTGAAGTTGTAAGGGACCCATATGGTCATCCAGTCCAACCCCCTGCTTGATACAGGAATACTGATCAAAGGATATTTGCCAGGTGGCTGTCTAAGTTTCTTTTGAATGCCTCCAGCATTGGAGGACTTAATACCTTCTCTAGGTCATCGGTTCCACTGTCATACTGCTCTAACAGTTAGGAAGTTTCTCCTGATACTCATTTGAAATCTGTTTCCCTGTAACTTGAGCCCATAATGTTGCGTGCCCTGCACTCTGGGATGATCGTCTCCCTGTAACTTGAGCCCATAATGTTGTGTGCCCTGCACTCTGGGATGATCAAGAACAAATCCTGCCCCTCCTCTGCATGACAACGTTTCAAGTACAATAAAACCCTCTTTTATCACATGGAAAAGATTAGGGTAGACACTTAACGCACTCAACGAAAACAAATTAAAGATTCCCCTGTAAAATGTCATATGCCATGCTGCGTGCACTAATTTATATGTACAAAGCCAAATTTAGGAACTCGTTAATTGGTGGTGATCGGCTGCTCCCACTGCACTGGCAGAGTTATGGAACAGGATACTGGCCAATAAAAGATTTCAGCTTCTCATGACCTGTTTGGCCAATAAAATAAAAGATTTCAGCTTCTCATGACCTGTGGTTGTGTATGGGTCCACAGAATTAAAGAACAGGTATCTCTGAAAACACTCATAATGTACAAGATAGTTTGCAGTAACTCAGTACAAACTCATTTCACACAAAAGATCTACTCCTGGTTATCCAAAGCATTCTTCATCCAAAGCCAAATTAAGGTGAGAGGGGGAAAAACTCTTCTTTTTTTTGGTCGTTATTGTTTGGAAAACAGAGCTAGAAACGCTGACTAAAGGATTGAGCATCACCCAGATATCTGCTGGCAGAGGCCAATCTCTCTCTTGTCTAATCTTGAACCAAGAAACTGAAATTTTGAGACCACTAAGCAAAAACTCAGCTCACCTGTCAAAACCTGGTGGCAACCCACCCAAGTTTGACTAAACCTCCTGTTTTGGTTTCGAGTCCCAAAGTAGAAGGACACAGAAACGGTTAAAACCCTCAGCATGCTACCAAATGGGGCTGGAAAGCTGTTGTGTGGCTGGATGAATCTCAGGGTGTACCCGCGAGCCTTTGGTTTGGATGAATTAATAGATCGATTTTGGTTTGTCTCCGTTTTTCATTCCTCTAAACTGTGGTTTGGTTAGCCCAGAAACTTGAGTTTGTTCCTAAGATTTTCCCAGAACTTGGAGATGTTATTTTTCTTGCATTACATCACCCAGAATTCTGCAGCCACCCTCTACGCTTGCATGCTAGGTGGGGTCTCCTGCGTAGCCTCTGCTGTCAGTTACCAGGAAAAGAGCTACGAGTACTACATGTGGGAAGAACGGTAGCCTTTTGCCTCGGTTCTGACTTCCATTTCGAAAGCCCGCTCTTATTCTCTTCTTTTTTTCAGAACTTGACAAGCTGCGAAAGATCAGCCACGAGATCCGAAACCCCTGTAAGTCATTGCTAATAAAAAATATATATATTTTATCTTCCCTGCCTCCTCTGAGTGCTGCCCCTGGGTGGGCGCCTGCCAGAGGAGGCGGGACTCAGTACCATGGAACATCTGTTGGACCAACAGACAAACCAGCACAAACCACCGACTCAGTGGTTCATGGTCAACTCTAATGCTAACCCTTTTCAGGATTTTCCATTCAGATGTGGGCTTCCCATTCCCTTCTTCTGGAGGTGTCTTGGGATCATGCAGCTTACCCAAGGCCACCCAGGCTGGCTCTTTCCCTAGAATCAAACTCCCAGAGGCTTCTTTAATGGCCCGCAATGCCTGCTTCTGTTCCCCTTCAGTGATTGAGCTGATCTCTGGCTGGAACGTCGAGGTGCTGGAGAAAGGAGAGGTGCGCCTGTGGCTGCAGGTCGAAAACCTGTCCCCAGAGGCAGAGCTGCACTTGATCTTCAACGGAAAAGAGCTTTCGAGCACTCCGGTGAGTGTCCCCCTCTGTAGATTTTGGCAATACCCTTTGGCCCTCTTCACTTTCCTGTTCTTTTCTCAAAGCATAAACTTTACCTTTCTTTGGAAAGGGAGACCATATTCTCTTCGTTTTTCATGGTGGGGGGGACACCTTACAGCCATGTATCAGTACAGGGGGTGGCAGATGGGAGACCGTGTCCTTTCCCAGGGGCCAGTATTGCTCATTACAGCTCTGGTTGCCTGTGAGGAGGGTGTTACTGTACACTTTTATGCCTCGCCGACGTCCTCTCCTTTGCTAACGGCTTGTTTCGCTTCGTTTTTGGCATCAGAGCCATAAGATCAATTTTGACAGAGCCCATGGCCTCGTGGAGCTGATCATCCAGGACTTCTGTGAGGACGACAAAGGGACATACACGGCCCAACTGAAAGACGGCAAAGCTGAAAACCAGATTACCTTAGCTTTGGTTGGAGATGGTATGTAGAAGACCAGGAACGCTGGGCAGAAAGTGTTTTTCAAGACTGGCTCTGCTCTTAGGCAGAATGAAGCAGCCACCCGTGGTCAAAGTAGACATTTAGAGGGAACGGGTATTCCATTCCTTATGATTAACCTGTTCCCCCATCCACAAAGAGGTTTCCTCTGACATATGTCCCTTAGCACTGTAGACCAAATCAAGCCCATGTTTGCCTTCCAATGACTAATCACGGAACAAAAGATGCCAACTGCAGCAGTTGGTGAATAAAATCAGATATCGTGACACCATTTGAGGGAGCACCCCTTCTAAAAATGTGCTAAGCGTGTTAGCTCGTTTGACCCTCAGGTAGCTGAGTTTTGGATTCAATGAAAGGATAGTAGATTATTAGTAATTTCATTTATTATTGGTTTGGTTTGGTATTTTACTGTTGGAAGGGTGAGCAATGTGGAGAAGCATGGATGGGGCACTATGCACTTTGGTAAAGGTGCACTTGGAAATTCTGATGGAATTCTGGGGGTGGTGGATTGGAAGAAGCCACTTTCCCAGTGATTGCGTAGATATGAGCCCCTTATCAAAACCCTAACAGAATGATATTTGCAGGGAAAACGTTCTTAAGCTATGTTAGAAGTCTAAAATTGCCCTTCTTGAATCAAACGATATTCCCCTCCGGTATCATGAGCTGATCCAGCCCTTTTCTTTTTCTCATCCAGATTTCGATAAACTTAAAGCAGAGGCGGATGCCAAAAAGAAAGAATGGAAGAGAAAGCACGGTAAGAAATCTTGAGAAGCTGTGTTTGTGACCCAAGACGAAAAATGAAGGTCAAGCACCCGGGTGGAGGGCCCTTTATCTGACGGATTGCCAAAAAGACAAATAAATGCAGGTTCTAGATCAAATCAAGCCTGAACACTCACTAGAAATTAAAATAAATGTTTGTTTGTTTGTTTGTTTGTTTGTTTGTTTGTTTGGTTGGTTGGTTGGTTGTTTGGTTGGTTGGTTGGTTGGTTGGTTGGTTGGTTGGTTGGTTGGTTGGTTGGTTGGTTGGTTGGTTTGGTTGGTTTGGT